TTTAGTAGGAACAGGGTTTCACCATGTTGGTCAGGCTGGTCTTGAACTCCTGACCTCAGGTGATCCGCCCACCTCAGCCTCCCAAAGTGCTAGGATTACAAGCATGAGCCAGCACACCTGGCTGGTTTATAGTTTTATAACCTTCTGTGCCAAACGCTGACACCTCAAAATATCTAGCAGAGACAAATATGAAACCCAGCGAGAAATTTATGCTAACAATTCTGAAAACATTTCTATTTTTATTTTACATATATATATATATATATATATATATTTTTTTTTTTTTTTGAGATGGAGTCTTGATTTTGTCCCTCAGGCTGCAGTGAAATGGCATTGTCTCAGCTCACTGCAACCTCCACCTCCCAGGTTCAAGTGATTCTCCTGCCTCAGCCTCCTGAGTAGCTGGGATTACAGGCACCCACCACCACGCCTAGCTAATTTTTGTACTTTTAGTAGAGACAGGCTGTCTCTATGTTGGCCAACTGGTCTTGAACTCCTGACCTCAGGTGAGCCACCTGTCTCAGCCTCCCAAAGTGCAGGGATTACAGGCTTGAGCCACCGTACCTGGCTATTTTACCAGTAATTGTAAAGCCAGCTTGTTTATTAAAGATTTTCTTAAGTCATATGAACTTGAAAAATATTTGAACTTAATTAATGAACACTCTTTTATTTTTATTTATTTGTATTTTTTATGGAGATGAGGTTTTTTACCATGTTGCCCAGGCTGGTCTCGAATGTCTAAGCTCAAGCAACCAACCTGTCTTGGCCTCTGAAAGTGCTAGGATTATAGGCGTGAGTCACCATGCCTGGCCGGCACTTTTTCTTTAATAAGTCAATTTGGTAGGCATACGTATAACATAATAAAGGTACATACACATGAACACATCTAAATGTGTATACACATGAACAAAATAATTCTATCCATTAGATAGCAATACAAACTCACCAGTCTACAAACATGTTAACATGGCTAAACTTTGCCTTGGCAGGTAATCCAGTGAAGGCTGTGCACCAAAAGTTTGGGTGAAGCAGTTTTCATGGAAGTTTGATTTTTAAAGGCCAAATCTCCCCAGTCTCCAAAGAACACTGGGCCCAGCATTCTGGGAGGCTGAGGCAGGTGGATCATTTGAGGTCAGCAGCTTGAGACCAGCCGGCCAACATGATGAAACTCCAAATTCCAAAAAATATTGGTGCTAAACAGTATTACAAAAGAATATCAGTTTATCAAATTCTAATTCAACTATATCGACACACACAGAATCACCAAAATGCAATGATCCATCTGCTGCCACAACAAACATGCCCCAAGACTGTTCCAACTAAAATAGTCAGGGTGCTTTCCTCTCTCCATTGGTTGGGCTTTTCCAACCTGTAAACAGAAATTCCTTTGGAGCTTCCCAAATCAAGAGGAGCCAATCCCACTGTCTGGAACCTGCAATGAACACTCAGTTGCTGAGACACACACACAATTACAAACAAGCCATCAAGAAAGTCCATGCCAAAACAGTCAGGGTGCTTCCCTCTCTCAGTCATATGGGCTTTTCCAACCTGCAAATGGAAATTTCTTCAAAATGTTCACCAATAGAGAAGAGCAGATCTTGCTGTCTGGGCCCACAGAGGACACTCATCTATCCAGATGCAGATGTAAAATTTCAAAGGCTGTTCTTTCTAGGCAATCAAGAATGTGGTTGGGGCCAGAAGCAGCAGGGTCAGAGAGAAACCAAAATTCACTCTAGTCACAACTGGGTGGGCAGCTGCTTAGGAGGACCTCTGAGACTCATGGCCCACGGCAGCCAAGCCACAAACAACATGTTTCCTGTTGGGGAGCCAAAATCTCTTATTGAAACACCCTGATCTAGGTCCTGCTGTTTACTGCACAGAAAGCCAATCACTGAGACAACAGAAGGCTTTAATTAGGTGCTGCAGCCAAGGATATGGGAGATCAGTCTCAAATCTATCTGCCTAACTGACTAAAATGAGGAGTTTATAGGGCAGAAATGTAACTACACGAAGGAAAGCAGGAATTAGGGGTAAAGAAAAGAATATGTCAACAAGAAACAGGTAGTCACTTAGGCAGCCATGGGGGGTGAGGGGTCTGGGTCGCATTGTCCAGATGTGGTGACATGGTGAATTTCAGCTCCTTGATACAACCTGAGAGGCCTGATGGTTGGTTTCCTGAGAAGGGATCTCAGATAAGACAAGTTGACCTTTCTGAGGTTTCAAAACTGGGGGCTCAATTTTCATGTTTATTCAGAAGAAACTATAAACATCAGTTCTATGGGACAATTGGGTCAGTTTCAGGTTCAGCAGACCCCCTTTTCTCTGCATCCACATGGCAAGCAGAGAAAGGACAGTGAAAACCTACATGCCACTTTCAACAGTTTAATTTGTAAGTAAACAGGCTTCCCTTGGGAAGGCCTTCTGATTCATGGCTAAAACCTATCCCCCAATCCAATGATGAGATCCTCAAATTGTTTACACACTGATTAATGCATACCCCACTGATCCTGGAAAGAGTGCTGACTTATTTCTGAATCATGAAGTTTTACTGATTGTCTTACATGAAGACATTTGAGCCTGTATGTTGCAATCTGAACCCAATGATCAAATTGTATATATATTGTATCCTCCAATAAGAAAGGACAATTCTGGTGTGAGGAGTCCCTCTTCCTTCTCCTGACCCTACCTACAAAAACATTCCAACTTGTAACAGACTCTGGAACACTTTCAACTTTGTTGGTATGTTTTCTTAGGTTGATCCTCACATTTGGGCTTTCAATAAACCATTATCAAATTATTTCTTTCTCAACAGGCTTAATTTTGGTCAACTTTCTGGTGCAGAATTTTGGCAGAATTTTAGAGTGACCTCCCTGGACCACATAGTGCAGTTTCTGACCTTTGTGCAGGTACTGGCAATGAATACATTGTGTTCCTGAACTTGGATGCCCTGGCTGATTTTTGCAGATGAGTTCCTCCCAAAATCAATGAACCTCCCGTCTTGGTGGAATTTCTGGTGTTTTGAAGCTGGTTTTCTCCTGGGCTAGATAGGAGATTTTGTTGAATCCTAGGGAAGTGTAAAATAGGAGTTCTGCAAATTGTTTCCCTGAACGTTTGAGATAGGACAACCTTTCCTTAGCTTTCTCCTTTTTGAGTGCATGAGGGAGGGCACTCTTGCTCCAAAGTTAAGAAACGATCTCTGTCTATGACCAAATTTAAGAAACGTTCTCTGTCTATGACCAAATGGCTTTTAGGAAACCCAAAACGGCAGAGGTGTCAGGGCATAGCCCCCACAACACGGATCAGTCTCATAGGAAAATCTCTACATTGTTAACTTTTTGC